CAACTAGAGTTAAGCCTGATTTTTTATAGTAATTATAGTAACGCAGTTAAAAAAGGTTTTTAATTAAATAATGCACCAGAAAATATAGACTAATAACATGCAAAAAGTAGACAAAGTCACTATTCAAAAATATTCCTGGCTTTTTATCTATGCAACAAGAGCCGTTACAAATTCATCTAAGCTAGTCCTTAACTTTCGGATGGGAACGAATCTTGTAATGCGAGTGAAATTAATGATATTCTGTTCAGAATACAATGTTATACAATATGTGATTTGATAGATGAAAACTGTGACTTTATATTATGATATATATATAATGAAACGTAAGAGAGAACTATCAATGAATTGTGAAAGTGAGGATGTGACAGGTGGGTGTGGTAGGATGGTTCTGATTTTCTATTTGATAGCTCTGTAACCAAACAAAATTGAAGGCTATAAAAATTATGGTTTGTTTGATCAATAATGATTTTACAAAGAGTATTTTACGTTTAATTTCGTACATTTTCGAGGGGCGATGGATAAAAGAGGGATGATGACATGCTAAGAAAATGTGTCACGTGGGTCACACACACTAGCGGAAATTCAGGAATTTTTTAAATAATTTCTTTTAGAATTAAGAACTTAAAACTTGTATCCTAGTAAAATATGTATTATTAGCTCAGATTTTATGTTATTTTAATTGCTATAACATAAACAAAAAGTTTAATAAAACTTTGAATGTAAGACACTAAGACCTTGTGTTACGCGCGGTAAAGGGTACCCGGGCTACTGGGTTAACAAATAATAATAATAAAAAATCTACCCATAACTGGATACTACCTTTGTAACAACAAAAGTCCTTACACTTTCTTTCCATTAAGCAACATGCCATTAACTTTCTGAATGGCATTATTAGCAGCTTCTTCAGTCTCAAAATGTACAAATCCATAACCTTTGGAGTTTCCTTCTTCATCTGTAGCTACCTGATATAAAAAGAATTTTTTTTTTTACATAAACTGATTTTGAATATGTGAACCGATACATTTTTTTTATAACTCTTCTTTGATTACAATAACTGTTTTAATGATAATCTTATTTCAGTGATCTCTTATAACATTAGTCTGGCATACTGTGGTTAAAGTTCTTATGCTCATAAGTTAAACACTTTATATTCGTTTATCCAGCAGCAGAGTTGTAAATTTCACTCAATGTACAATATATATATATATATATATTAAGTTTTTAATCTAAGTGATTTTTACCAATAATTATTCTATAAATAAGCCATAAATTCATTTCATGAATGATCTTAATTTTGATTGGCTCACAAAGAAAAATACTGACGTTTGACTGCCTTAACTGCCTCTTTGTTGGTCAAGCTTGATTTTGTAAAATTTATTCATTTCAGTTAGCTATGAAATGTGAGGTTAGAGTATACTATGGGTTGGGTGTTGGTACTTGCCCCCTCATTTTTGATGCTACTATTTATACAAATGTTAAAACTTTGAATTAGATGGATAATGCCATTTTTCACTTTATATAAACTGACAGTAATAATCAAAATTAGTAAATTGCACTACAGCCATGGAGTTGTGCACCAAACAAAATCTGGTGAGAAAATACACTCACTTGAAGTTCCCCAAGGGTTATACTCATTACATGCTACAGATGTAACCAATTATTTACTGTGACACTGCTTTAATAAAAAATAACACAAAAAGATAACTGATTTATTGGTTAAAAAAACTGATTATTGAATACCTTGCTTTTTTTAAACTGTTTGTCAGGCATTAATACTAGACATGGAAAAACAAGTCTAGCAATGTTAAATTGACCTATTTACACAAACAGTACTTCTGATCTACCCATTTTGTTATTAGCCCAAGATATCCTAGGCACCCTTCACCTATCAAACAAATATTTGCCAAAGTTAAGTCAGGAAAACCATTTCTCACTGTATTTTTAATTATTTGCCCAAAGTTATACACATATTATGTATTACAATCAGTGCTTACTAGATGGCATTGAATTGACCTCTATTGGATTTATTCCAAATAACTAGAGAATAGCACTCCCTTTCGTCGCTGTAGTTTCATTGAAACATACACCCTAAATCTATATACGAGCACTCCGATTCTTCACTGTAGTTTCATTAAAACATACATCATATAAATCTAGAGAAGAGCACTCCCATTCTTCACTGTAGTTTCATTAAAACATACATCATATAAATCTAGAGAAGAGCACTCCCATTCTTCACTGTAGTTTTATTGAAACATACATCACATAAATCTAGGGAAGAGCACTCCCATTCTTCACTGTAGTTTTATTGAAACATACATCATATAAATCTAGGGAAGAGCACTCCCATTCTACTAGTATTTTTTATTATTCCAAGTAATTGAAATAGTACCACCAGACTTCCTTGCCCTGTATGTTATGATCAAAGCTACTATGGCTATGTGCCACTATCACTAACTGTCAACTAAAGGAAAGCAACTGTGAAGCAGCAGTTGCCACCCCCACCCCCCCTCTTGAATTGCTAGCTAGAGGGAAGGCAACAAACCAGCAGCACCCATCACAAACTTTCTCTATCCTGTGCACCATGGTTTAAGGAACAATATACCAATTGATTAATGGGATTATCAATTACAAAATACCACTAATAATCTAGCTCTACCTTTGGAATATAGAAATAAGAGTTAATCTCTATTTAGAACATTATTACATACCTAGTATGATCTTTCTACACTGTCTTATACATACAAGTCTCTGTGAAGCTGATAGAATATATCAGGTATGTATCCACTCAAGTTTAATGTCAAACTTTGGGACAGGGAGGTTTTCCAACACTGTGGCTGGGAATAGACTGTCACTGTTAAGACACATGGACAGAGCATGGCTAGTTTTGATAATTGCCTTACTTTATCCAAATATTGATATTATTAGAAATACATATTAGTCAGTGAGGGTACCATCTTACCTTACAGGACAGGATGTTACCAAATGCTGAGAAGGTGTCATACATGGCTTTATTGTCAATACTTTTGTCCAAATTTTTAATGAAGACATTTCCTAAGCCAGACTTTCGTAGAGAAGGATCTCGTTGAGACCACATGATTCTGATTGGTCGACCCTTAATTGTGTCAAAGTTCATCGTGTCCAGGGCACGTTCTGCTGAAATATTTATAAGACAATCACATTTATTTCTCTATCAACACACCTTGCATCTAAATTGAAAGAAAAAATACTGCCAACAACAAAAAAGCCAACTCATGGGTTCACCCATCATCAGCATTCATTAACCTCTACTTTAACAATTTTGCTGTTAGTACCCTTAAATCAGCTTTTCAGAGTCCCATGGTTTGGCAGAGACAAGTTAACTGAACATTCCTAATTACCAGAATTCATGAACACCTAAACAAACATTGAATATGAAACTCCCTTTCCTACACATGAGGTTTATCAAGATAACTCACGAATAACACAAGAAACACACATACTGATAAAGACCTTGGCTGTAAAACAAACCATTCATTATAAGAATGCTTTGTTTCCAGAAAGAACAAGTCTTGAAATACAGATGTTAAAAAGGAATAAAACACCAGTGCAGCCTCTCTTAAGCACAGATACCAAGAATGTTCCACAAATAAGCAGGCAGATAACATCAAGCACAAAGTCATATTCCACTCTTTGAAATCATACAAAAAGTATTAAACAGTAAACTCTCTAAAGACCTAATGGAGAACAAGCCATTTACGACATCCCTTGTGAATGTAAACACAAACTGAAGGAAAAGACAAAACCAAAGTTCATAACATAACAACAGAATAATACTAAAAGTAATGGAATATGAACAGTCCAAAAACTTTGGGTGCAGTGCTTCAGATTATAGGTGCGTCAACATCATTCACACACAATTTGTATATAACTATTTTTCACAAAATTAAAGCAAATTTATTTTACCAGAATAAATTTGTAATTTCTCAGAAAATTAAGCTGTAACAATTTATAATTTTCAGTTCTTAAATATTTGTATTTGCTGTTGGCCACAGAGCATATACATTGATACATGCAGTACATATGGGTTCTTTCTCACATTAATATCTATTGCAGGTGCTAAAGGGATACTCACATTGGTGTGAAGCAACTCCATACCGAAGTTTGAGAATAATAGGCATAACTGTTGAAATTAGTAAGTAACTTTACTTCAGCTTAACAATCATTTCACTTAAATCATTGCTAAATTCGAAATTTAGAAACAAAGTAGCAATTTGCACACGAGTGCTATAAAAATCAAATACTCTAAATAACATGTCACATTTCATGGAGCTTAGATTTCCTACACAAACTGTCTTTAATCCATTTGTTGAGCAAAATTTTAAATATAGTAACAGTTTATATGTTGGACAACTTGTTTCATGTATTACCCAGTGTGTCTATGTGTGTAAAATAATCGCCACCTGGCAAGTTTTAGCTTGACAAGCAGCCTTCTTACAAAAATGGAATAAAAATGTATACAAAACTTTACAACAATGATTTTCGTCACTTTATCAATTTTAGAGAAGTAATAATTTCATATATACACACACAAAAAGAGTAGCCGAGCTTTACTTTGCTCCTGCAGAGTTTAGTATTGCTTTTACCCATTCACTTGTTGGTTCATGTAGGACTAAGATTGTGGTTAAGACTGTTACTTCGTAAGAGATTGTGATACTTCAATATCATATTAATTTAACATGTTCCCAAAGATTATACAAGTAGTGCATAATTTTTTTTTTAACCTTTGAATCTGTGCAATATCTTACAATTCATTATTCAAGATAAATTATTAAATCTTTATTTATTTAATGATGATGTAAAAACAATGACATGTTTTTCTGTAGTTTGCAGTGTATATTATGGATACTTAATCAGCCAGAATGCCAAAAATTGTATTTTAATAAATAATCAAGTAAATGAATAAACAGGCATTTTTTCTTTTACACCAGTTTAATACAATAATAATTTCATAAATATTGTCCTTTATGGGCTAGCAGATGAGCTATGTCATTCACGAATCATTTCAAACATACAAACTCCAGTGCTTCCACCTGCCATATGGCTTATGCCTAGCTCCATTTCCACTTTTACAGTAACTTCTTTAATATTGCTATCTCATTTGACATACATCAGAAATGGTATTTCCATTTCCAACCAACTGCACACTTCATTTCCACAAACCATTTTGGGTAGATTTAAGTGGTGTTTGCACACCCAGTAGTACAGTACTAGTACATGTTGTTTTAAATGTTTTCATCTCCAAAGGTCTGTGATGTGACAGTTGCATGTTATAACATAATAATTAATATTAAGGTTTAAAGACCTCTTTCACCCCCCCAAAAAATGTAGCTACATCAGATGTACAAGTTTATATTTGTATTATGTCAGTATTTCCTGAAACAGAGGAAAATTGTCCTTGCTGTGTGCTGTGGCACAAATCTCAGGAGTTCATATGTACAGCTAATATAGTTAGCTCTCCTCACAGACCTAGAAGAAAAACACTAGGACAGTTCCGGAGATGGTAGGTTTATCTTATAGGTAAGATCTCTTTTCTCTTAAAAATAGTTACAGCATCTTCCTCAAGTTCACAAGATTACCTGGAGGACTGAAGGATAAGACTTTTGTTGTTGTTGAATTCCAAAGGTAACACAATTAGAGGATAGAAATTTAACACCTCCAAAAGACAGAATAAGCTCCTGTCAAGTTAGTTTTCTAAGAAAGCTAAATTATGAGTTGTCATTGGCAGTTTACCAGAATTTATGAGAGGAATAGTTTAAATTTTTACTTTTCTCAAGGGAAGATGTACAAGGACAGCCTTGAAGGACCAAACAGTTCCTTGTATTATAAACTGGGATAGCCTAGATGGGCCAAATGATCTTCTATCCTTTACTTTAGAAAAGTTTTTTTTATTATTTAGTGAATACCCCCCCCACCCCCAAATACAACTAAAGCTGATAATGAGAATATCAACATATAATAATTTTACACAAAATACACCAAGAATTGTAACTTGGGTTTTGTCAGCCTTGGGATGATTCACAGGCTACGGAAAATGTATTGTATGGGATACAAGTTTCCTGCTTCAGGCAGCACTGTGGCAGTATCCTATTTAAACATTAAAGCCTATTGTTATTTTAAGCTTTCTTGGTACATTTTGCATAAAATTACAACTTTATACTTTACTGAACATCAGAAGCAATAATTTCGTTTGTACAACAAGGTTCTCCTGGTCTGTATTGTTGCGAGTCAAAAGAATAACATAATAATGACGGTTACTTTCATTGCAGAAATACAAAGAAACACATAAATGTGATTTTAAAGTTTAAGTTTTTACAACTAAAACTTAACTGTTCTTACCATCACTAGGTTGCTGAAAATTTACATAGGCATATCCTAGCGATCTTCTAGTGATCATATCTCTGCATACTCTAATTGACAAAACTGGTCCAGCAGAAGAAAACTTCTCAAAAAGCATAGCTTCAGTAATGTCAGGATGAAGATCTCCAACATATAGAGAAGCCATTGGATAATTTGGGCCACTTGGATTCATGTTTTGTCGGTGGTCTCAAACTCACAGTAACACTAACACAGACAAACGCCCTTTTTCAACTATTCTCTGTCACAGTAATTGAGTAAATAATCACAGATTAGATTACTCACTCAGCTTTTCAAATATTCATTGAAAATACAAATTAAGCTTAGGCTACTAATATCAATACAATAAATGTAACGTAGAAGTTAGGCCTTTCTTTCAGTCACTAAGCAAGTATATTTTAGTTTTACACAAGTTACAGATTTCTCATTTAGCCTAACTATTAACACTAACTTGCTCCTATAGTTTGTTGTTTCCACAATTTTTTGGTTCTTTTAATACTTTTTCGATTTTTTTTTGTTCTTTTTATTTTTTTAAACTTATTTTTATTATCCTAAGCGTACAAATATTTTTTTTAACCCACGTGAACAACCCTACTCCAAAAAAGACAAGATGGAAGAGGCTTTACGTTTCTACGAAAGACGTTTATATATATGAAAGATATATTCTTCCGCACATATGAGTTGAAAATTATTATTCTAATATTCCCTTTTCATATTTTAATAGTTTGATCCTTTAAATATATTTAGATATGATTAATTCAGACCATCTTAAATATATAATCATAAAGTTTTTATACACTGATCTGTATTCATAGTTATTTTATCTAATTATTTGTGTTTGTCGGATTACTACTGCGTTAAACGTCAGTTCTCAAACGGGGTTACATTTCTCGAATGACGGGTCTACAAATTTCGCCCTAGCGGTACACTACACTACAATAACATAAAGTAGGTCATGGGTACATTTACCTCAGCAAATTTAAGATCTGATGCTTTTTTTTATTATCATACATAAATATATTTTTGATACTTAACTATTAAGAACAATATTATTAGTTTTCAATAAGTTAAGAAATGTAAACTCAAATTATATAATGGTGTAAATTTGTAGTGAAATATATATATATTTATTTATATTGTTTACAAAAGCTTACGTACACAAATGTAATAAGAAATAGGACATTTTTTGTTTGGTTGTATCGAAACGCGAAAGTTAACGTCGTAAGCTTGAGAACTTTTGTATAAAAAATGCTATTCTGGTCACATGAGGATACATTTTAACATTATGGTATATGATTATGCCATGCATTTCTATTTGTCTATCTAATTACAGTTTTTATTCTGAATTTTTCATTCATTCTGCAAATATGTGCAAGTTTCAAATAGAACGTTATCAGTTGTTTGCATATAGTTTTTAAGTACAAAACTACACATTGGGCTCTATGTTCTCTGACCACTGCGGGTAACAAAACACGATTTTTAGCGTTTTGACAATAAAGTTAGAAAAAAAAGACCTTTACACTCCAAATAATTATAAGAGAACATTTATTTCAAAATATGTTTTCGCCTTTTCGACTTCTTCAGGGCTAGTACATAAAACTGTTTTTTTTTGTTGTTGTTGTTGTTTTTAGCTTTATTGCCCTCACATTCGTTATTCTCGAAAAGATGATGGCTGTTCTGCTCAGGATGTATTTGTTGTAATACTACACATTGTGCACAAATGTTGACAGCAGTGTCCTTCAATGGTAGTTCACGTGATATCTCGAGATTACAACCTAATCTTTGTTTGAATAAGAATGTCCAGTCACGTGTCTAATACCAGTCGCTTTATGTATAATTCGACGTTTCCTGTGGAGTAAGAAACATTGTTTGTTTGTTTTTAATTATGCACAAAGCTACACAAGGGCTATCTGTGCTCTGCCCACCACGGGTATCGAAACCCGGTTTCTAGCGTTGTAAGTCCGCAGACATACCGCTGTGCCACTGGGGGGCAAGAAACATTGAATTTAATAAGTCTGGTACATGTTTCTTAATTTCGAAGAATCAACAATATCAGCCAAGATCTAGTAAAATCAATAGTAACAACAGCAATGACACTCACTTTATTTATGAGTTGATTAAAGACTCCTCACTTCAGACACTACCTTGTTCCCAGTCTCTTTCTTTCTTTCTCAGATTCAGTTATTCAGAGTTTTAGCATTATTCTGTGATAAATATCTTGGTCAAATCCTAGCCCATTGTGTATACTTTGCTTAAATACAAACAAACAAATTATAGAAAGAATCTGAAGTTTTGGCTTTAATATTGAAGTTTTAAGATAATTCTTGTTAATTTTTATATTCCATTTATTTCTAATAGGGACCTAAGTGTGGTTTGAACAAGTGCAGCGTCAGAGCCTAATGTTTTTATTTGGTGAGTCCTATTTTTTCTGTAAAATAGTGTTTTCCACGTGATGCATTTTACCTTTAGATTTTGAAATGTTAACCTTTTGACTGTGGCTGCGGAATTTTTGTGAGCCGCTCTATGTATACAGCACACTCGCATTCAACCGCCGAAGGCCGACCGTACCCTATACGGCGAATCATCATTCAATGAGTTAAAAGTGAATTTTGTAAGTTCCAGGCCAGTTTTACATAAGCAGTGCTTAACTGTCTTGTGAAAAGTAAAACGAAAAAGTTAAACACGTAATTATTGTCATTCCAATTGAAAAGCTCCACTGATCTACTTATTCATATTATTTCTGAAAGTTTATAACGCTGGAAACAGGGTTTCGATACCTGTGGTGGGCATAGAATAGATAGTCTATTGTGTAACTCACTCGAGATTTTTCATAATGACATCACAGTACTAAAGGTATTTGGGATTTTTGCACATATTTTTTTTTTTTTTTGTTATCACAACTAAGCCTAATGAAAAATTATAAATTTAAAAATGTACAAGTGTCTGAAAAGTTAAATGTAACAAAAACAGTACTTTTCTGATACATCCTACTTACAAAAAGTAAACCTAATCATGAGCTTTTGATGAATAAAATTGTATAACAGTGGGGAAAAACTGCCGTTAAGCTTTCTCAATTCTTCAGTGAAGTGGCGTTTCTCTTTATAACTTGTTTATAGCAAACACAATGCTGTTGCAATACTAATAAGTATTAATTTTAAACTATGTTTTGTGTTCAATCTTGGGATCCTTACCTTAGAAAGGATATTGAATTGTTAGAAAGCGTTCGGGGAGGGCTACTAGAATAATACCTGGGATGGGAAGATTGTCATGAAAGGAAAGGCTAAGATTTCTGAAATTGTTTTCTCTTGTAAAACAAAGAATTAGAGGGAATCTGTATTTAAGATTGTTATTTATATGTTGATACATCATCTTTTTCATACTTTCAAGTGATATGGTAAGACTAGAGGATACATTTTGGCAGGGTAGAAACGTCTTCAGCTAAGACAACTTTATTTTTCTAACAGGGTGGTTGCCCTTTGGCATGGATTGCCTTCAGATGTGGTAAATGCAGTTAATTTAAGAAAATTTAAGGCTTGATAAATATCTGAACAATAAGTGCTGACTTTGAATATTTTATTTTCATTTTAAAGTTTAGTTTATTGGATGGGATAGCCAAAGTGGTCCATTGTTGTCCTTAAATTATGTCATATATAATATTAACATTTTCGACAAACTACTGACGTTTTGTTTAAAATAAGTTTTAGACTGTGTATACACAATTAGCATTTTAAATTGTTATCATTTTTTTTCTATTTTTCAAATCACTATACAACACAGTGGGCAATTTTAAGCTCAACATGGCGGAATAAGTCGATTTGCTTTATCTTGAAGTTAACATATATCTTTGCCACCAACCTGTTCTAGATAATTTGTACATATGTTTTTGCCACCAGGAAAATTTCTAAAGTATTGCCACCAACCATTTCTAGATTATTTGTACATATGTCTTTGCCACCAGGAACATTTCTAGAATGTTTCCACCAACCATTTCTAGATTATTTATACTTATAATTACTTTCACTACGCTATTTCTTTCAAAAGTATCGTTTCTTCTTTTTTCTGTTGAAGATTTTTGTAGAATCGATATTTTAAATATTATTTTACATTTGCGAACAGAGACGTCGTACAGACAAACACAGCACTAGTCATTTTAGGATTAATGAGTTACGTAATTAGCGAAAATACACTTAGTTAAGATGTATAGGTTAAGCTATCGTTCTAGTGTAGAAATACAGATAATTTATGAAACAGTTACTTTCATCTGTTCATCAAATACACACTCGAGAGATTAAGTAAGTAATGCTTTTAGGTAAAAACATTTGCGTTGGGTATCAGAAAAATTGTTCCAGAAATAGATAATAGCACTCTCTTTGGTATTATAAGGTACATTGATTTCATCCAAGATTAATCTGGTAAGATCCGCGGAATAAAGGGAGGCCTGAGTAGAAATGTCATACAGAATTGAACTGAATTTTTCAGATTTTGAATGAGATTGGGAAAGAAAGAAAATGAACTCAATGTAAACAGAATGAAACACTCTTTACCGAACATGAATTTGTGGAGGACGATGCCTTTAATGGACCTTCCAGAGATCTTTGCATATACAAAGCAATAATTGTTATTCTCAGAGTGCATCCATTACCTATGTCATTGTTAGTCATTTCTACTGGGAAAAAATTGAGAATATACCCTAAGGTATCACCTTATCTGCCAGTAGAAAATACTGATGTTCTCTTTTACACAGTGTACTCTACTTTATAGCAATCTTTCCTATGAGGAAGTGCAAGTAATAGTATGAGCCAGAAAAATAATTAATTAGAGCAAAAATAACTTAGCAACTTCCTTGACCAGTGTTCTATAGTTAAAACAGCATGCATTTATATTTTTGAAATTCTTGAAATTTGTATGTGAACTTAAGAGTTAAGTAAAGAAGGCAGGAAATATTTTGTAAATAATAAGTATAACTCATTCTCGTCCCTGTAAAATACTAACACACACATAAAACAAATAACATAACTTCATTCAATGGGGTAACATATACAGGTGGGTGTTAGCTGAAAATGTAAAAACTAACAGAAGAATTTCTTTAATTACAGTAAGAGTAAGCAAATCATTATGATGAGACCAAGGCCTTTTGAGAGATGATAATGGAATGTCTGGGTTGTTAAATTCTACGTTTTCTTCCTTTTTTATTAAGTAATATTCCTTATTCTAAACAGTTGGTAGATGGAAACAAGATGATCAAATTAATTCCAAACTTGTTCAAAAGGAATTAAGGAGTTTAAATAATAATAAGATTCTTGGGCTAGATAATACAGGTTTTAGAAGAAGGTTAAGAATATGATATAGCTACGTGCTACTATTTTTGGTAAGTCTTTGAATAGTGGACAGGTGCCAGAAGATTGGAAGTTGGTCAATATTACTACTCTTTTACATGGAAGTGATAAAATTATTCCAGTAATTATAGTCGTATTAGTCTTACATCAGTGACGGGAAAAGTTTTTAAAGTTGGATAAAAGATATGTTGAAATGTTATTTAACAGTATTTGAGGATTTGTTGTTCAGTATATTTTCTCATGTTTTGTTGTAAGTGTCTCATTTCCGGTACAATGTAGCCAGCGATGAGAGCCTTATGTAACAAGGTGTTGGGGATATTTTGCTTTAGAATTGGCTAAATATATGTGTATAAAACTGTACTTAAGTGTTTAAGTTGATACCTAGAGACTGACTGAAAAACAGATGTTCAGCTAATCAATTTATACAAACAGGTATGAAAAATTATCTTAAATAAATATTAAGTTTTAGGAAAGTTAGGGTTCACACTACATGAAAGAAATAAGCAAAGAATAAAAAATATGTATCTGACAGAGATAAAACCAATCATCGGAGATCAGAGATTCCAGGATCTAAATAAATTCCAAACGGTCGAACAGTGTTTAGATTAGCGATCCAATAAGCTTCTTTTATTTCTCTATCAGCTTTAGTTTTGAATCCTGTTTCAATACCGACGAGAGTAACATCGTTAATGGAATGACCGGGTTGGTTAAAGTGTTGAGCAACAGGGAGATCTTGTTCGGTGTTAATAGAAGATTTATGGTTGTTAAAACGTTCTCTAACAGTTGTTTGTGTATGTCCTACATATTGATAATTGTATTTTTTACACTGTATAAGGTAAATGGTGTTTTGTGTTACACAACTGATTTCTTGGAATATTTTAGTTTCTTTGGTTGTGCTTGTCATAAAATGAGTCAGTGGTTTCTATGAACTTGCAGGTTTGACAACGAGCTTTATTGAATGGATGACAACCTTTTCTTTTTGGTGGGATGAAATTCACTTTTGTATGAACAAGGATATCTTTTTAGAGTTCTGCTTTTTCGGAAGGGGACAACGGGAACTTCAAGAAATATATAAATATCTGTTTAAAGCGATCGTTCGGTTGTAGTGGATGATTTTTTTTTTTCAGAATTTGTGAAACGTTTCTGAGTTTAAAGTGATAGGTAATAGTAAGAGGAATTCTATTTGAAAATTTAGTATTGCTCTGATTTAGGATGTTTTTCCGCTGAGTGTTGTTAGCCTTTTCGTTCTGTCTGCTGATTTCAGTATCTTTATATCCTCTTTGGAACATGGTTTGTTTTAGATCCTTGGTGTGTTTTCTGTAGTCTGTTTCATCTGAGCAAATTTTCTGTATTCTAAGAGCTTGTCTGTAGGTAATGTTCCGTTTAGTGTAAGAGGGGTGACAGCTTTTATAGTGAACGTATTGGTAACGTCTCTGTGTTCGTTTGTTAATTTTTCGTATATTTTATTTCCGATGAAACTTCAGCGATACAAGTCTTTTGTTAAATAAAACTAGTTTATTCTTTCTCAATTCAACTGTGCAATACACTTAATTTCCACAGCCACTTTAAATTAAACACACGCTATAATTCACAACGAACGATTCACGCGCTTTACTTACGTTACTACCGCGCTTGACTCAATTGTCCGTCTCTATATCTGCCTGTCTGCAATTTTTTTGATTAATTGTCTGGCGCACTTACATACAAGAATAGAGGGCGCCTAGCAAATACAGGATTATTCGTGACGTTCCCCGATCTTTCTAGAACTCATTACGTGTTACCAGCGTCACGTGATTTCAGCTGTCGTAACAGTATTGTAGTCTGTTTGTAGGTTTTTTGTACAAGTCAGTGTGTAAAATTCCATTTTTTAGAAAAACAGTGACGTCAAGAAAATTAATCTGGGTAGGGGAGTAATCACAGGTAAACTTGATTATTTTGTGAAAGGAGTTTGCATGTGAGATAAATTCTTTAAGTGATTTAAGACCGGATGTCCTAATGAAAAATATGTCATCTATGTAACGTTTCCAAGTATGAGATTTTACAGGGCTTAGTTGTAAAAACTGGTTTTCAATATGTCCCATAAAAATGTTGTCATAATTGGGAGCCATTTTGATACCCACTGCAGTACCGTTAACATATAGGGAGCTGGAGAGGGTCTGTCATAGTAAAAATGCATCAAAATTAAGAAAATTACTCTTGGGAAAGGCAGGAGCCTCTGAACCCCGGCCATAATGAGTGCGCGCGTGACGCACATTCCCTCGCTTTGCTTGGTCAAATAAACCTTGTTTCCCACTTTGTATTTGCCTCCTACACCTCTGTATATATATATATATATATATATA